TGCTTAATGCCCACTGCCAAATCCTTTAAAGTGGTTATTTCAGTAGGATTCCTGTTGGAAATTGGGTAAAAACTGGGCAACTCATGAACAATAGCATTCAGAGTCTTTGGTTGAGGAAAACGCCAGAGACAGCTGATGGTGTAGGAGCCAGAGGACAAAGCTTAACCCGCATGGCAAAGCCTGTCATTGTACAGATTACCTTCTGCAATGTGTCGGGTCTACAGTGTCATCGGAAAGGAGTCTGTGACCTGTTTCCTTGTGATCTTCTTGGACTCCACCACACTGCCCATGACCAATTCAGAGTTTTAGACTATTTACTTGCTTACTTACTCATTATCTATACTATTTATAATATATTTGCATTATATTAATTTATGTTTATATTATTTATTTCAATATAAATCTTATTTATATATTCATTGATTTTTTAATTTATTATGTTTGTTAATTTGCTGACATTTATAAATATGTTTATACTTACTATTAATTGTATTTTATAAATCAATTATACATAATTTTGGGGTTTTTTGAGACATTTTTATATATGTACAGGGTTTTATGTATACCAGAATGGCCTTGCATTCATCTTGTAACTGAAAATAACCTTGAACTCTTAATTTTTCTTTCCCTACTGCCAAGATGATGATATTGCAGACAAGTACCTACATGCCCTCTGTATATGGTGCTGGGGACCAGTCCAAGCGTTTTCTGTGTGATACTGTACCATACAAAAGTACTGTGCTAACAGATTTCCGTCCACAGTCATAGAGTTTTGTTATCATATTACATAAAAGAATTGAGGCTTGGTGGCGTGCTCTGCAGGTAAAAGTACTTGCCACCAAGCCCCATGACCTGAATTCTGTCTTCAGAATCTACATAATAGAAGGAGAGAAATGACTCATACAAGTTATCAAGTTATCGTCTTACACACACACACATACACTATGGACATTTGGCACACACACATACACAAAATAACCACACACACACACTAAATAAAGAAGTAAATCCAAAAATAATCTTTAATATTTATTCTTAAATTTCACAAAAGTGGAATGGTTATGATCCCCATCCAGCTTTCCTAAGAAAGTCAATGTCTCAGTCCTCTCAATCAGTGCTGAAGCCTGAGAAGCAAACCTATGCAAGGGACCTGGAGTTTTTACCTTGTTGGCTTAAAATAATCACAAGGTGTCTCCCATCATAGCATGCCAACAGACTGTGAAATGTCTGTACTTACATCAACTCCTCTCCTCTGAGATAGCCTCTCCTTCTCTCTGCTCTCTCACTGTGTCCGACACCACTGGTCGTTAGTGACCCAAACCCAGCGCAATAGACTCGTTCTTCGTCTTTTCTCGTGCACCCATCTGCTTAGCCACTAAGACCTAACTGATGATGCTACTGCCTCATCGATTTTAGAATTTCCCCTCCCTCTAACTGCTTTAGCCTCAGTTTTATGACTCATTATCTCCTGATTGAACACAGAAACTGTCTTACATAATAGCTGTTCACAATTCCCTTTCACCGTTCGACCCACACTCTACACTATCACCAAGTGACCTATCTCTGTGGAAGAGCTAATCTTATAACTCCCTGCTTGACCAGCTTCTCTCATTTCCCTACACACCAGTAATAAAATGCCCAAAGTCCCAGCTCATTGTTACAGGTCACTGTTGATCTTGCTTCTTAGTGACCTCTTCTGTCTCATTTTACACACCATAGCTGTCAAGGCATTTGAAATCCCTAGGGGCAAACACCTGTTCATCCCTTCTGTAGCTTTGCAAGCTGTTTCCTGGGATTAGACATTCCTTCTCACGTGCAATTGTGTATGTGTGTGTGTGTGTGTGTGTGTACATCCTTGTATGTGCACAGTTGTAGAAGTCAGAGGATATGTCAAGTGTCAGTCTTCATCTTCGACCTCCTTTCACATAGGTTTCACTTGTTCACCGTTTATACTGCAGACTAATTGACTCATCAAATCCCAGGTATTCTTTTGTCTCTGTCTCCCTTCTTTGCTAGTGGCACTAAAATTACAGATGCATGTTTACATGCATACACCAGATGTACATGGGTTCTGTTGATTCTAAATTTGCTCCTCATTTTTGTGTATCAATGGTTTTACCCATATCTCCAAAGCCCAATACTTTTTATTCTTTCAATATCTACTCAAGGGGCTTGCTTCATGAAAAATGTTTTGTAAATAACTAGGGTGGGTTAATACAACATTCTTCTTTACAAACCTACATTTACTATGATTGAAGGACTGGATACGGCTTCTTTATCTTTCAGAGTCTGCTGCAGAATTAAGAATGTTTTGAATACAAGAGGCTTCTCAAAGTCTCTGTTTCTCCAGACAAACTATCCCTTAGTTTCTGCCTTCTAGAATGACTGAAGTAGTCAGCTTTGTTCTGTTTTGTTGGTCAGTGCCTTCCTCAGCATCTCTAGTAACTTATCTTTGAGAGAGAGAAGTCGGAATTAGCTTCCAGAATTCTGAGCAGAGAACTAGTTTGTTATGGTGTGTGTTTAGCTGTTTGTTTTTACTCTTCCAAGGAGTAACTATTTCTAATACTGCCATTCACCACAGCTCTCGTACTCCTTGAGACAGTACTGGGTGTTAAATAATTTTACCTGATGCTTGCATGTATATTAAAACCTATTATGCACACACACCCATATACACATGCATACATATATATGATGTGTATATAAATGTACACTCACATGCCAAGACCTCAACCAACTACACATATACATCTAAATTTGACTACAGCTCAATAAGACGGCTCTACTTAGTAACATCATTTTCTGAATGTAAGGCCCTCAAGGCCACATGGTCACTTGCTCATGGCAGTAGTCCTGGACTACTAGAATATAGCTAGATACAGATGGCTAACAGTAATTACCATTGAGTGAGAAGATGGATGAATGGATTTGTTTTTAGTTTAGAACTAAAAGTATCAGCATTCTACCTTACTGCGGGGAATACAAAGTATCCTGTAAGAGCCTTGTGACAAGTAGATACACCTGCTTTCCCAGTACTGTTTGGGATATCTTTATCACACTCTGTGATATTTTCTTTCCAGGTGAGTACTGAAAATGGAATTTAAGCAGTGATGTCTGAAGTGGTAAGATGGCTTAGTTGGTCAAAGTGCTTGCCATCATGAGTTCCATCTCCAGACTCTACATGATAGGAGGACAGAAGTGTATCTGGCAAGTGTTGCCTGACTTCCCTATACATGCTGCAGCATTGTACACATCACATCACACACGTCTCTCTCTCTCTCTCTCTCTCTCTCTCTCTCTCTCTCTCTCCCTCTCTCTCTCTTTCACACACACACACACTAAACAATATCAAAAAAAATTTAAAAAGTGGTTTTAGATACCACATATTAGTAATTGAATATTGATGTTTACTGAGATTTTTAATATACTTTTATTTTTAAAGGGAATGCACCATCTCTAGAAATTTCAAATTACTGAAAAAAGTTACAATTATTGACATATAGTATACAGTTATTATATGTCTTTTACATAAATGAGCAGTTATGAGCTAATATGTATACACACATATGATGTGTGGACCATTTAGTGTCTTCTGCTGTACTGTCAACTTTTGAAACAGTTCCCTTGTCTCATGTTGAAGCAGCTGTATACATGAATTATCAGCAATATTGGTCTAGAAAACTTATGAACTCCCACTTGTACGGAGGTGACACAATGTATTAAATATGGAAGTTTTATCTAAATGGGTTTGGTTACAGAAAATAATAAAATACTTTCTAAGTGAAAAAAACCGATAATATAGACCAGAACATTTGCATTTGAAAAATTCGAAATATGAAACTGATTTTCTCAATTATTCTTCTTACTTTATAACTTGTGATCAAGTAGACTGACTCACCTTAAATCTTAACATAGTTAGACAATTTTGGTTGAACAGTTGCAAGCCTAGGTATTAAGCCCAGGTCTGATCTCTCATTCTTGAGTACAACTAGCTAATAATTACTCCATGTTCAAAACTGGACAGAGGTTTTCATTGTCTAATTTGCTTTGATTTGCTCAGTTATTAATAAAATTTGATTTAGCAGTATCAAAAAATTATGAATTAGGTCCCATTTTTGTTTCCATGTAGCAGTTATTAAAACATAACTGAATGTCCCCCATGAAAAGGACTAAAATCAAATGGTTTGTGTAATTTTTTTTAAATTTAGCTTTATAATTTTAATTTTTTACTTATTTTTTTATTTTTCTGTATAGTTTGTGCTTGCATAAGTTTATGTGCACTGTGTGAATGCAAGAACCCATGAAGGACAGAAAATAGTATTAGCTTTATTAGGATTTGGTTTAAAGAGAGCTGTGAGCCACACTGTAGGCTAGGACCAGATCACAGATCTCTTGGAAGAGAATCAATTGCACTTAATTGATAAGTCATCTCTTTAGCTCCTTGTTTTTATTTTTAATAATGTTCAAGTGAGTACAGATACCCATGAAGTTGATATCTCTGGCACTGGCATTACAGACAATTGTGAAACACCTAATAGCAATACTAGCATGGGAATTCCGGTCCCTAGGAAATACAGTTCAGTCTTTCAACCACCAAGCCATCTCTTCAGTCTTTCATGGGCAGTTTTTAACAAGTGGAAATTTGCATATTGTTTTCCAAAGAAAAACAAATTTTCTCCAACTAATTCCAGAGCGATGTAACTCTACGTATAGAAGTTATGTGTCATCAGCACTGAAACTGGTTTAGCTCAGTGTAAATATAGTCATAGGTATCCGCACATATCTACTCACCATAAAGCATGTGTGTAATGTGCATGAAAATTTGAATCACAGCCAGGCAGCATGTGAGCACATGCAATAAGACAGCATGACGGTCTTGAAAAGAAATGCAGAGGAGAACCAGGGAGTCAATGGATGTCTGTAACAAACAGACTTTTCTTGGAGGTTTTATACACAAATATGTCATTTTGTCCTCTGGAAATTAGAATTGTCCAACTCACCTTCATATAACCAGTCAGCAATACCATTAAAAACAATTCCTTCTTTTCCTGAAGATGTCAGTCGTAAAGAACTGCTCTTGATATCAGGTTGATAGTAGATATTGTTTTCAAAAATATAAATCTGTATTAGGAAAGAGGAAATAAATAAAAACCCAAACATGTTAGTATACCTTTCTTAAATGAGTGTATTAAGGTATGAGCCCTGGATAGCTAATGGTGTTATTCTCAACCTGCTTTCAAACTAATATCATTTCATGTTTATATTCATACAGCTTTGAAAGACTAATACTTGTATATATCCTTCCTTATCTTATCGATATCAGGCTGTCATTTGGAAATTTTTTCATGGCCTTTCTACTTTTAAATCTATATTTTCATCAATGGTATTTCATCTACTTAATAATGCTTGTCTTGTACTGCCAAATTGTTTTGGCTGTGAAATCATATTTTGCAAATTCAAAGAGACTGATGACTGCCACTAGATGCTATTTTAGTAACAGCAAACTGACTCCTGACTCTTTGCTAAGCTTCAATATGAGATCTTTGTTTCTATATAAATGTGCTTGATGATCAATAAAATAATCTTGGAAAATTCTACCTGTTCTGTCCATATTGACTCACATCGTCACTAATGACAAGCAGCAATAAAATTCCTTTAAGCTGGTAAACAAAATTCAGCTTTCCATAGACCCATACCCTTTGGCAACTCCTTCTTCAGGAGCAGGAGGGGCTCTAGCTGACCCTGGCATGGCAAGCATGGCTTTAGCAGGCATTGCTCTTTCGCCATTCCCTCTGCCTTGCTACAAAGCTTTAGATTACATTCCTCAAATTAGCCAAGATCTATTCCCTCATTTGGCCACTTCCTCCCCTTAAAGCTGACCACTGAGATCCAGCTATCAAACTATTGAAGTACAGCAACTAAAAGCTCGCTATTGGTTTCCCTAACTAACCTGCCCAATAAAAATTAAACACCTTATCATAACAGGTGTTTTCCCCTTTAACCTTTATAAACTGCCAGTTGCTTATGGGACATGTATGTCACAAAGGCAGTTTATTGTTCCTCCAGGTTAAATATCTGCCCTCCATTGTTCTTCTCCCTTCTCCTTCATCCCCAAACTCCTGTCTTTGTCTCTCTGGTGATGAGGACTTTGTCTTGTAGTTCTTGTGCTGACTGTGGTCCTTTCAGATCATAGTATTAATAGTATAGCATCATGCCTGAGAGCTCAAGAGTTTCATTATGAATGAGTTTTTGGGTGCATGTTTGTGTGTTTTAAGCAAGTGTTTACACTGAATAAGACTGTTGAAGCTGGAGAACCGCTTTAGGTGTCTTTCCCAAGAGTTGCATGTGTATTTTTTGAGAAAGTTTCTCTCATTAGCCTGGGACGTGCCAAGTCAACTAAACCTGCTGGCCAGAGAGCCCCAATGTTCTCAAGATCTCTACCTCTGGGTAGAGCTAGGATTATAAACTAGGTAGCATGCTCAGCTGTTCTTAAATGGACAACAATTGAAATCAGGTCCTCATACTTACAATGCAAGCATGTTACCTATGAAGTCATTTCCCAAGCCCCCAAAGAGTCTTAAATTGAACATATCAAGAAGTTTTCCAAAATAATTTAAATCATAATAGCTCCAATACCAGGATCAACAATGCTCACAAAAAATGATATCTTTTTTTGGTAGAAAATTCAAGATAAAATTACTAATTATTCATTATCGAAAATGTCTTTAATGCCAAATATTTGAAATTATTCATCCTTTTATAGAAAAAAAAAACATTTCTTCCACATATTAGTGGCTAAATTGGTAATGATATCTACTAATTGGTGTTTAAACAGTGAAAGATGACCCAGTGCTGTCTTTTCTTCTTTCTGCCCTACCCAGGAGCACATACTGCCATTGCTGGACCTGTGAACATCCTGAATTATTGGTGGGATAATGGTGAGCATAACCCATGCACAAGTAAACTTAGATGTTGCAGAAAGCAAGCAAGAACTGAAGTGATGGCTTTACTTAGTTTTAGGTACACATTATATAGTACAATCTGCCCTTCATTCATCTTCTTCATGCTCCCCCGTATTTATTTCCAGGTGTAAAGCAGTGTGCCCACCATAGTAGTTAAGAAATAAACTAGGATGAGATGGTACAGAATGATCAGCATGCCAATAGCTACAGATTCTACCAGCAGCCGTTCTGTGTGTGTGCGTGCGTGCGTGTTATTTGTTGTTTTCATACAAGTATTACCTCAAAGTTTTAGCCAGCTTAAAAGAAAATAAGAGTTTGACTACACTGGAACTATAAATCCTGCTCCAGGCCTCTAATGCCCAGTTCTGTGCTTTGCAGACACACATTCACAAACACACAAGCACACATATTTTAAAATAAGAACACATTCTTCAAACTAGTCTCTACTGCTTATAATGGTGTTGGAGGATCCATAAGATACACTACAACTGGGAGAGTGTTGGGACTGTCTTCCGTTGTAGCTTGCTGTTGGAGAAAACATGTAAATAAAAGCAACCACAGATGGCAGCAATTGCCAACATGGAAATTAAGAAAGTGTGGTGGCAACTCTTATATCTATATAGAATGCTTCTGTCATCCCCCTATCTACTAGTACATATTCAGCTTGTTTCTATGCATTGAGTTATCCCAACAGCATTTAGCACAGAATTGCCTATGTCATCTGTAAGTCCTCGTCTTTGTTCTTTCAAATCAAGACTAAGAAGTTATCTTATGCCAGGCAGTGGTGGTGTGTGGCTTTAATTCCAGCAGTCAAGAGGAAGAGGCAAACAGATCTCTGTGAGATTGAGGCCAGCCTTATCTACAGAACAAGTTCCATGGTTATATAAAGAAACACTGTCTCAAAAAAAAGCAAAAAAGTAAAAGTATTGTTCTACTGCTATGAAGAGACACCATGATCAAGGCAAATCGTATAAAAGAAAGCGTTTAATTTAGGGCTTGATAACACTTTCAGAGGTTTAGTCCATGACTATCATATCAAGAAGCAAGGCAGGAGGCAGGAAAGAATTGTGCTGTGATGTGAGATTCCCCTCTGTATGATATGAATCTGTTTTATGTGAGATTGAGGCCAGCCTGGTATACAAGAGCTAGTTCCAGGACAGGAACCAAAAGCTACGGAGAAACCCTGTCTTGAAAAATCCAAAAAAAAAAAAAAAAAAAAAAAAAAAAAAAAAGAAAGAAAGAAAGAAAGAAAGAAAGAAAGAAAGAAAGAAACTGTTTCAGCCAGTGGCTTAGCTGAGTAAAGCCAGGCAAGATATAGAAAGAAAGTAGGTGGTGTTAAGGAAAAGCCATGTAGCTGCCAAAGGAGACAGACATCTAGAACCTTTACCAGTAAACCACAGCCTCGTGGCGATACACAGATGAATAGATACTGGTTAATTTAATATCTAAGGTCTAGTTAGAAATAGGTCTGAAACATTGGCTTAACACTGTTGTAATCAATATAGTTTCTGTGTGATTATTTTGGTCTGAGCAGTGGGAAAGGAATGAGCAGCCTCCATTTACAGTGCTGTTAAAATAGCTGAGAACGTTGCATACTGAGTACAAGCTGAAAAAAAGCCTGGACCTGGAATTGGCTATTGAAAACTCAAAGCCCACCTAAATAACACAATGAAAAACATGAGCCTCTAGTTCAGGGTAAATCATAATAGAGGACACCTGACTCCCTCTATTTGTCTGTCGTTAGAGTCTCCCTCGCTCTCCTTCCTTCCCTTCTGCCCTCCAAGTTCATTTATTTTTTTCTTTTTTCTTTTTGATTTTTGTTGAGCTCTACATTTTTCTCTGACCCCCCCCCCCGCTTCTCCCCTTCCCTTCTATCCTCTCCCAAGGTCTCCATGCTCCTAATTTACTCAGGAGATCTTGTCTTTTTCTACTACCCATGTAGATTATATCTATGCATGTCTCTCTTAGGGTCCTCATTGTCTTCATTGTTGTCTAGGTTCTCTGGGATTGTGATTTGTGGGCTTTTTTTTTTTTTGCTTTATGTTTAAAAACTACTTATGAGTGAGTACATTTTGTAATTGTCTTTCTGGGTCTGGGTAACCTCACTCAAAATGATGTTTTCTAGTGTTTTCTAGTTCCATCTATTTGCCTGCAAATTTCAAGATGCCGTTTTTTTTTTT